CGAAGCCCTCTACACAATGTGAGCTATAGCCTAAACTCCTTAAAGGAGGTTATACAGGGGATTATATAGGGGACTACTATAGGGCTTATTAAGGGGGATACTAGGAGTTTAGACAATGGCTCATGTGGGGGCCTACATTTGGGGATATTATGCGGGATATAGGGGTAATGGAAAAGAAAATGGAAACTACTATTTAGGGTTTAGGGTTCTGGGTTTAGGGTTTAAGGACTATTTGGGGATCCTACTGGAGGCCCATCGGGATATAGGGATTTGGGGCATCTTATACTACCTTTGTACAAGGCGTACAAGGGTATAGGATTCAGAACTATTCAAGGCTTCTAGATAGGAGCCCTTATCATACAGGCCTCACTATCTCTAGGTCCCTAGATGGCCTTTCTTTGATAAACCCCAGAAATACTCTATCAGGGCTGGAACCCTCTCAAAAATCAACTCCGCCAACATATTGTGTGTGTTTATACTGAATAGGAAATCCTTTGTTTTTGGGACATCCCCCTGAAGCCCAAACCCCGAACCCTTGGCATTATAGGCCGCTGCACACACCAGCAGGCCTCCGGCCAAATCGCCCAGGACCTTGACATGATCCAGCTTGCCAAAATTAGTCACGTACCTCCAATAATTGCTGCGCCCCCACGGTGTAAGATTATTAAGGGTCTAGGGCTCAGGGGTTTCTCCCAACCCCTAATATTCAAGATGTGCCTTGGGCTCTTTTCTAAAATTGGAGTGTGGGGGTAACTTGGAGGCTGTGTTGAAATAAGTAGTACGTCTACCCAGTGACAGCGGTCATGGGGCTTACTTATAATAGGAGTTATTGGGAATTGTAGACGTGCTAAATGAAACGATCATTCCAGAAGGGTCTCCGGCTCCGAAAGTTACACCGTTATATTCCAAAAACTGTCATAACCTCATACTAGTGTTGAAACGTGCATGTCAGGACCGATATTATATCATTTTAAGGAAGCTCCCACGCGGATAAAGTGTAGCCCTGTCTACCGGGCTCGGGGTCTCCGAGCTTCGAAGATGCAACCAAAGGCTCCGAGACGTAAAGTCTACAAAAATTCAAGTTTCAACTTGCCATGTCCCTTAAATACACAATCTTTTTCGTCTCGCTGGATTTTAAAATTTCGGGCTTGCGGGTTTAGTCTCCCCAACTAAGATGAAACCTCATAGAGCCAGCCTTAGACAGGACAGCACTCTGCAGCTTGGCCGTCTTGGGGTTTCCTAGTAGTTTGAGGCAAGGTACGGCACCATGCATAGTCTGAAAAGGGGCTTATCTTGAAATCTGCATAACTTTTTACATGCCTCTTTTACCATCCAAGACTATAGCCCTTGGATGCCATCTGAATTTAACATGATCTCTGTTTACCCTAGATGCTGCCTATCCTAGCCCCCTACCCAAATCCATGCGCAACCTCCGAACCTCGCACAACTTAAGGTGCAGGGCTAGTCCGTAAGGTAATCCATCACCCCTTACCATTCAACACTCCCTTGGCAACCAGTATCGCCTGGTTGATGTTTCCGAAAAACATGCACCCCTCCCATATACCCTCAACATACGATAAGCTTTCGGATAAGTTTCAACGCAAACCCCTAACTTTTGAAATCGCGATCTTGAAGGTTATTTCGGATTGTCATGCCTGGGGTCGTCTGAAACTTTCTTCCTGATTTAATGTTTTCGACTCTGGGCCCAGAACCTTGCCCATTTTGGCCAAAGCATTGGCGGTTTCGGCCCGGACGTCAGGATCCGCGTGCTTGGCCTGGCTGGTATAGATTTCATATAACGCTATATAGTCATCCCCGTATCACCCGAAAGAGAATCCGTATCAAACGCTGGATTACCCCTTTGAAGGTGTTTTTTTTTATACACTAAGCCATGGTTGTGCAAACTACCGTACCCCTGTAAGCTTCTTGGATGGGTGTCATTCAAACAGGCAAACAATAGGATGGCCTCGCATCTCTTCAAATTTCTTCTTGTAAGTGGGGATGCTGTGCAGGGTTTTTCTTTGTTTCGAGAAGCCTTCTGCAGCTCTAATTCCAGCTGTAAGCTCCCTTAGACCTTGAAGAGCAAAACCCCATCGGCAGCCAAGGTGCAACAGTAAAACATTTTTTTTGTCGGGGTTCGGATTTCCTGTCACCAAAAAACCAAAAATCTCATAATTGTATTGTAGCTGGTGTTCTGTAGTTAAACCGCATCAAGCTGCTCCCCCAAGAGCTCCACAACAATGCAGTGCTTTTCCTATTTGTCACCACTACGCGAATGCCATTATCATGCGACCAGCTCCAAGAATCAGGGTCAGAGTGTTGCACTTTAACATGTGGGCGCGATACCATCGGGGGACCGGAAATGAGACATATGAGACTAGCGCGTTGAGAACTTGTGTTTTTCCTTTGAAGCGAACCCTTAAACAAGCTGGAACCTAGGCCCTTCAAACCAAAGAGCCCTACCTGCATCCTACCCCCCAATTAATTACACAGAATTGTACACGCAAAGCCCTTCGAACGTTGCAGCCTACAGACACGCCATTGTGATCCTTGAGGTTCTCTGAAGTTCCCCGCCGTGTGTTCTCAGCATCCCCTCAACAAACTGACAATGGCAGAAAATGCACGGCACGCCTGCGCACAAAGCGCTGGCAGCGCGCTTGGGAAGTGTGGAGCAAACCTGCAAACCCGCAGCAGCTCAAGGTTTCCTGTTTACATTTTAGAAATGACTAGTGCTGCCACAAGGATCAAGGCTTCATAATTTGGGATTTTTTGGGCTTGGGGCACTCAGCCAGCACGTCCACCTTGACGGGGCCGGCGTGTGTGGATCAGCCAAGGACCGGCGTTCACAAGAAAAAACGTGTTTCTTCCGCACCCCTGACCCTAAATCCTAAGCCCACGCCCGCAGCCTGAAGCCGTTTGAATCCCAACTCCTCTGATACTAACTCAGACGCCCAACGGCCCGGAACTCCAGTATGCCAGTGGGTTCAAGGTTCAAGGTGTAGGGTCCTCCTTAAGCGCGCTGTATTATTGTTAGCATAGGTACCCCTCTAAAGGAAGCTCTTGGGTTTTGGAAAACCCCACTCGGCCGGAACGGAAAGTGTGTTGCTTCGGCCCGCTTCGTTTTGCTTAGAAGAGTTGCCTGCCAATCCAGGCAAGAGGGCGTGCCATCACGCGCTGGCAAACTGTCCGGGCTCAGGATCTTTGGGAGCGGCACCGGACCCCGCAAGCGTGCGAGGCGGCGGAGCTGGCGGCAGGTGCGCATCTCTCTCGCGAAAGGATAAAGCACAGACAGGCCCAGTGCGGAGGTACTGTTGGCGTACCGCTGGGCCAACTCGCCCCGCTCTGCGCGGTCTAGATCTTGGATATGTGGCGAGCGCAAGCGTTCCGGAAACTGCAACGTGAACTAGCAAGACATCCAATGGCACCTGTACATGCTTTGGTAGCCAAGCGATCCACCGCGGTATTCTCCGGAGACAGAACGAGGTGATACCTACGCCAGAAAGCATCTTCATCGAGCTTAACATCCCCCACTCCCGGCAGGCCCCTAGTCTTCCGCAGAGGCGGACTTTCAAGATCTGCTCGGTCAGAGCAGCATCCAGCTTAAACTGCTGGGCCAGGTCAAAGATCTGGTTGGGAGCTGCCATGACGCAGGCAAGATACTAGCATGGCTGGTTGCTCTACAGGCGCTTGCTTTGCACCATGCCCACTGCCCCCGATCTGGCAACACGCAGTGCCTTAACAAACGATATTTCTGGCGCGAACTGTAAGCGTGGGGCCTTACTTACCATTTCGAACTGCGCCGCATGCAGAGCAGACAGCGCCGCGGACTCTACCGCTTGCTGTCGTGCCCACTCGCACAGCTCCGCCCGCATACGTGCCATTTTGCCCAGAGCGGCGTCCTCCTCTGAAGCCAAGATTGGAGCTGCAACGGCATCCAAGACAGCTACAGCCTCAGCGGTGTCTGACGTGCCCACAAACCTGCTAGGTCTGCACAGCACGTCCACTGGGACAGGCTGATGCTTGGCGTTCGCAGTGCACGCACACCACTCGTCACTTGGGAACCGCGCGCAAGACATGGGGAGTGGATGGCTTTATATGCTCTCCTGCCATGGGAACTGAAGGGTGGCCAGACCTCCCTGACACTCCAGGCGTGCCACTTGCCAAGCAGAGGCCACCAGCAAACAAACAGCGACAATGCTCGTCACGAATCTCTGCTCTTGAGTTTAAACAACTTCTTTTGTAGTATTAAATAATCCGGGGCCTGAAAACACATTTAGTGTCAGGGGAGAGACACACTAGGAGGGCTCCGGCACACAGAGCCTTCATTTTGGCTTGAGCTAGAGATGGAATGAGAATGCAAGAACGAAGGCTGTTCACTCACCTAGCCTGCCCAAAGCACTAAACAGCAACATCCCAAACACGCAGGGGCCTAGCGCCCACCGCGGCCACGTAGGTGCCAACGGCTTCGGTTGCTGCTAGCCGCTCCTGACAGGTTATAAGCATTCGAATAAGGACAACTGATACTTGCGGTATGACGTAGTAGTATCCGCTTGCCTTCAAGTACTGTGGGTACTTTGCAAGAAAACCAAAACTACTATGCAGGCTTGGACAAGTTGGGGACATATAGGGGTCATATGGCTCAAATAGGGTTGGGTTGCTTTTTATGGGGTTATGTGGGTTATATCAATGATCATATACTTCCCCAAAACCATACTTGAAGTAAAGTACTCTCATCCCAGTACCCAATTATTGGGCACATGGCTCCTTAGGATTTGTAGGGCTGAAGGGAAAGGGGAGTGCTAGCTCTTGGGGAGAGTTCTCGTGTCAACAGCATTTGTTCGGCGGCCGGGCATGTTTCGTCGCATTTTTTTGGCTGGGAAACCGCTCTGTGGGCATCATTTTGTGAGCAGGTCTTTATTGAGTTGTCTTAGCGTGGTTTTTGGGCAAAGTCTAACACTAAACAGCGTTCGAGTAGCAAAATTTGCGTAATAAGCTGGAGGCTGGGGTTTGTGGGCAGGCCCTGACAGCATCATGAAACATATTGGTCTGCGAGGATGGGCACTCTGTCCGGAAGGTTGTCTGGCTTCTTTCATACCCTTGTCCCCCCCCATGCAAAACATTCCCCTTTAGTATCATATTGCAGGCATTCATTCTTAGGAGGGTGACTGTGGACAGTGCTCACATTGGACGTGGGGTTACAGGCGAAAGTGAACAAACCAGAATATTATTGCTACCTGCTGCAAATGTATTTGTTCAAAAAATGAGGACTTTCAAACTCTTCTTGCTGTGGCATCAGACCTTGCAGCTGAACCGCAAAGAAATGCCAAAAGCCTAGCACCACGAAGCGTGACCGCTGACTAAAAGGGGCGAAGCCAAGGCGATAACAGGCCCGAAAGAGTAAATGTGTGCGGCATGCCGGTTTGCAAGCCTTCGCTGCCTTGTTTGATGGTTGAGGGCTTCACGCTTCAGGCTTCCTGTTGGAGATAGGTTTGAAACTTATGTGCCGGCAAGCAATGGGAGGATTGAATCTTGACACTTTGACAGATTGAGGTTTGGGTTTTTTATCCACAGGACAATGATGGCAAGAATCGGGCCCTGGAATAGGATTTAGGGTTTAGGGTCTTGGCGCTAGCAAATTCGGCTTCGAACACACCCATGCCTTGAGGCGTAGGGCCACGGGAAGGGCCTTTCATTTACCCCCCCCTTGGAAGCACTCCGGCAACAATGAGCTCTTTACTCCTCTTCCCTGGGCCCTGAATCTTAAGTCCTACTAAATCTAAGGCTCTCTCGACTCACTTGGCTGCTCCTAAATTCAAAACGGACAACCTGGTTTGATACCTGACCCGCTAACTAAGCAGAATTTACGGCTGACACGCTGTTTCCTCAGCTGCCCGGTACAGTTAGTATGTGCTACACATCATTTATTTTCTGTTTAGTATCGTTATTCATTTTCCTACAGACTTGGATCCTACATCCTACACCCTAAACCCTAAACCCTGAAACCTAAACCCTAAATCCTGAACCCTAAACACTGCACTTCTTTTCATTATGGGTGGGGCCTTATCTGATCAGGAGCTGAAAGTACAGGAAGCTCGGAAGCAAAGCCCTCAACCCAACCAACCCCAAGCCATAGGCCCTTAAAACCAATACCCTGAAACTCTGAACCTTGAGTCGTAGTATATCAAAGCATGTTATAATGCACCATAATATACTATAGTATACTATAGTATGTTATAGTTATTGTAGTGTATTATAGTACATTACAATATACTATAGTACATTATAGTATATTGTAGTATGTCATGGTATATCATTGTATGTTGAAGCCCCTGAAGGCTCAAACTAAACAATAAAGTCTGTCCTCGTGGCTGCCGGTTCGAACAGCTCGCCGTCGGCCATGATTCACCTCAAGCTTGCTTCGAGGGGATTATGGGGATGTATAGGCTCCCTTTAAACAGGCTTGAGGGACAACATGTAGGGGCAAAGGTTGTAGGAGAGGTCGTTTTTTTATGTGTGGATTCCTAGGGAGTGCAATCTAGGGGCCTAGAGCAATAGAAAGCGGTCTTGGATGTGTATATACGTACAATACTTATGCAAGGGTTGTAAGGGGAGAATATTCGTAATGGTTCAGGCTTCTACAATAATCCCTTCCCCCTAATATTAACCCTCCCTGTAATATGCAATGCGGGTTCCCCAGATTTCCGAATTTTGACATCTGCCATCAAGACTAGTTGACTAGTTTCAAACGGCCAGAACAGAAGTTAATTACGGCTGGGATCCTCTGAATGTGGGCGGGATTTTGATTGTTGTTGAACAGTTTTTTCTAAAGCATTTCGTACAGAATCTGACTGCGATTTTAATCGGGTATACTGCAAGTTTACGTCGTGTTTAATCACTTACTTGTCATTCGATTTAGTAATTTCAACTGATGTTAATCGATACTTAAACTTTGATTAGATTCTACTTGGATTTTATTTGGACTTGAATGGGTTTGAAAACGCCTGCGAATTAAATTCACTTTGGTTTTACTTCCGTGTTCTTTAGATTTCAATTGCCTTAATTTGGGATTAATTGTTTCTGTTCCGATTTCACTGCAACTTTATTGAGACTTAATGATTTTTTTCATCAATTTTAACTGGATTTCAATAGGATCCTATTATGTACACCCCTCATATTCCGGTCCCACGATAAATCCCCAGCCAAAAGTTAAAAAAGGGTTCGAGTATATAAAGATATTCCTTCCATGAAACACATGAATGCCATGTATTAAGCCCCTGGCACAAAGAGGTCACTCCGTTGGTGTTGCACCCTTCGTTAAGTGTACAGTTCAAATGACTGCAAAGAAATGTTTAAAACCACCTTCGCACTCCACGTTAATGTGTGTGAGGCTGGTGCGGGCGCCCTACTCGCATCTAGACAGCATCTATTCGTGTGTGGCTTCTAGAGTCACTTGGGAATCCCATTCTGAACCCTAAGCCTTAAACCTTAATCCTAAATCCAACGCTGCTGATTTCTCCTTGCGTAGTGTTCCGCGCCCCTAGAAAGGAATGTGAGGCTTCCAGAAGGACCAGCTGCACTTACCTGTGGGCTGCCTTCAGCACATGGAAGTTACCCTAATTAGGCGGAACAAAGATAGACCCCAAACCCTAAACCCCACACCCCAAGCCCTAAGCCCTAAACCCTAAAATCCTAAACTCTAGACCCCTATTGTAATCCATTCTTGAAGGACTCCCGGAAAGGGCCCCAGATTCTCGCAAACCCCCATCTGCTAGCAGACGCAGTGTACATGCCTGCAACTCTTAACCTTGATAAGGTTTAGGGTTTAAGGCTTCGGGTTTAGGGCTGATGACTCAATCAAAGAAGCCCATGTACCCAGCCCCTAACGCATGATCGCAAACCTGAGCCTTACACATGAGGGTTCTTCTACTGCCAAATCCTAGCCCAAAATGTATACATTAAAATCAATATGGCCCCAAACCCTAAAAGCCAAACCTAGACCTTCAGCTCTAAACCCTGAACCCTTATGTAGCTTCCAGATTCATTTTCAATTTGGTTGTTCATTCTTACCCCTAAACTCTAAATCCGAAAAACCCTAAACCCTAAAACCCCTAAACCCTAAACCCCTTAACCTGACACCTAGATGCTCTAAGCCCTAAACCCTGAACCCTAAGCCCCTTATCATTCTGAGCCCGGCACCACCTCGCCACTTTCGGCGGCTCGGAGGGCCTCCAGGGCGTAGGGTAGGACCTGGACATCCCAGATGGTTCAGGTTTAGGATTGAGGGGTTTTGGGGTTGAGGGTTTTGGGGTTTAGGGTTTAGGCTCTAGGGTTTAGGGTTTAGGGTTACATGTTTAGGGCTTGGGGTTGAGGGCGATTTGCGATTTAGCAGTCAGGCGTGCGAGGCTTTCTCAGAAGAATCTATGCGAGTCCCTCTTATAGATTTCTTTGCACAGAACCCAAAAACCAGTGCTTAATCGCTTAGTCTATCCTTAGCTTCTTTGCGAAAGACCGCCTCATCTGCAGGGGCGAGATCCCCCGGTCAAGTCATATCTAAATCGGCCCTTCAGAGCCTACAGCCTGCAAACATACCCCAAGGATCGTGGCCTGAATGTTCAAATGCTTTTTCCCAAAAATCAGGCGTCCGTTTCTGGGGTCCCTGCAAATACGGATTCACGTCTCACGGAATCTAAACCTTTAAACCCTAAACCCCAAACCCTCAACCCTAAACCCTCAACCTCAAACCCTAAACCCTAAAACCCAAACCCTCAACCCTAAACCCTAAACCCTACTGTATCTTCCCGACCTATTCTGGAAAGCCCCATGTGGACTTCATAGGCCGTGCGCATCCTCAGCTGAACTCTGCCGTTAGGGTTATAGGGATTATAGGGTCTATATTGGGGTTATATAGGAATAATGGAAAAGAACATGGAAACTACTATTTAGGGTTTAGGGTTTAGGGATTTACCTGAACCCTCCAATGTAATTCCTTTTCGGGTTTGTTATCGCTTTTTGGTTAGGGCTCTTAATAGGACTACCAAAAAGGTACTACATTGGAGGGTTTAGGGTTTAGGGGTTAGTTGAACCTGGTCGCTCACCTGTCATCAATTCCTCATTCCGTGGCATGTTGACCCATACCGGGTTGCTGTTCAGAAACTTGCTCGCGCATCTGGGTTGCTGCTAAGGAACTTAGATCAAGCTTCTAACATAAGGGCATATAAGCTTTCGGATCTTTGGTTCAATGTTTAGGGTACCTACAATCCTATTTTTAACTATATACCGATAACTCACCCTAAACCCTAGACCCTAAATCCTAAACCTTAACCGCAGCCGCAGGCATTGATGCGAACACCTCAGGAAGACCAGGGAGTGAGCTGTAAGACGGCAGTCTTAGGGTTTGGGGTTTGGGGTTTAGGGTTTAGGGTTTAGGGCTTAGGGCTCCGAACATCACTGGCACAACCCTCACCTTGAAATGGGGGTTTCCCAAAATTAAGGGCATATAGGGTTTGGGGCTTATGGCACTCCCTAAGTTAGGCATCGCTCATGGCCCCTGAGACCGGCGCTGTGTCCAAGGTCGGGGCAAACTCCTGCTTCCAATTAGGGTTTAGGGTTAGGCCTTACCCTCCCAAGCTGGCATATGATATAAACCCTACCCTATGTAACCCTTATATAACCCATTATGTAGTAGTTTCCATTTTTCTTTTCCATTATCCCAATATGAGCCTAATATAACCCCAATAAGCCCCAATGGAGCCCAAAAAAGCATTTGAAGATCTGTCTAAACTCCTAGTATCCCCCTTAATAACCCCTATAATAGTCCCATATATCATCCCCTATAACCCCCTTTAAGGAGTTTAGACTATAGTTCATTTGAAGATCTGTCCTGAAAAGAGGGCTCCATTGGGGCTCCTCGTTGGTTAGTTGGACGACAGGTTCTGGGCTTTAGGGCCTAGCAAGGGACAGGGGCTGTGTCAAAAGACACATACCAAAACTGGGGGAGACTCCGGGTTGCATGGTCTGGCTCAGGGTTTAGGGTTTAGGGTTCAGGGTTCAGGGTTTAGGGTTCAGGGTTTAATGGCTGAGCCTCCTTCTCTACTTGATCTTGTGCAAGTTGGTTGTACCAGGCTGGCCAGCGCGAGAGAGGTTACTTGCTAGCAGTCTGTGGATGATGGCATTTCCAGCCGCCACCTCCTAACTAACAGCGCATGACAATGTACGTGGTTCTACCAGGACTCTCCTTGTCACCTTATATATGGGGTTATACAGGGGGTTATATTGGGATAATGGAACAGAAAATGGAAACTACTATAATGGGCTATACGGGGGTTATATATGGGGTTATATACCTTAAAAGGGATACATAGGCCTTAGTAGATCTTTAGGGTATATAGAGGGTAGATGGAAGGTCTATTTCGCAAGTTTGTTGTCTCTCCTATGTGGCATGCTGGAATAGTGTAGAAATCTGCAAGCTGCGCCGGATTTGACATGGATGGTCGGTCTCATACAATTGGAAGCTGCAGGCTTTCTAGGCAGACATACGGTGGATACTAAAAATCTGCTTAACCCTAAGTACCTTATACCTTGGCAATTATGGTATTATAGTATACTAAGGCCATGCAGGATTTTTAGTATCAACAGTAGGATCCGCAGAGGTCTGAATCTAAGGCGCGAAAGACTGGAGCTGCAGTCGAAGTCCCTCAAAACCCTTTCTGTGACCTGAAACAGTACAGGGGTTTCTCAGAGAAAAGACCGTCTGCTTTTACAGTCTCATACATGAATGAGGCATGCATTGCCGGGGAGTACTTCAAGGATTTAAGATGGAGCTTGGACATCTCCGAGTAAGCTAAACAATCGTTCGGGACAGAAGGTCCTCGAATCTTGCCAGCGCCATCTGCGCGTAGAAGCTATGCGCGGCAGCTTTGGCCTCGATCTGGATGCGTGCTCAGATCATGCACCGAGCTTCTCCCCTAGAACCATAGGGGGAATTATGTAAGGATTCTATAGGGGTTATAATGGGTCTATATAGGGGATCTAATTTTTAGATCCTCCCAGGGGTCTGGGTTAGGGTATAGGGTTTGGGGGTTAGGTTCTCTGTGTACAGACACTCAACTATCCGGGGAGGCCGTCTAGGGCTGCAGTTTTAGTACGACGTGTGCAATTTGCCATCTGCTCGGGCTAGGGCCTGGGAGGACAGTGATCTCAGAACAAGGTTGGAGTGCGTTGGTGCTGTGTTGAGGTTAGGAGACTGGATGATTTCGCTACTTGAATGTCGGCAGACACTCACTCTATTCTCTGGTTACCTACAGAAAGATGCGCCAAGCCTAGCAACAAAAAGATTAAACCTACCAAGGTGATCGGAAGTGCAGGTAAAGGCACCCAAGGTCATACCTTTCTGACAGGGTCCTGAAG